ATGGGCCACTGCACTCCAGTCTGGGTGACAAGAGTGAGACTCCAACTCAAAAAAAAAAAAAAAAAAAAGAGTGTTTGCAGTATCATAAATTGGCAGAAAAATGGAGAGACCAGAATTGGAAAGGGATTCAGATGTCATCTTATCCACCCTCTTTGATTTGTGAGAGGAATACTGAAGACTAGTGACACTGTGACTCGTTCAGGGTCACACAGACTGGGCTCAGCTTTAGTTCATAGCTCATTTCACCACACCACACCTCCTCATTCTTCCCTTGGGGAACCACAGGCCAGGGAGAGGTGGACATGTAATGTCTCAGATGGAAGTGCAAGCAGAAAGCTGGCTTCCAGTATTTCTGTGCCTCATTTCACACAGTCACTAAACTTGCTTCCAAGGTTTACAATCCCTTTTCCTTTGAAAACATCTGCTACTTTTGGCTGGGCATGGTAGCTCACATCTGTAATACCAGAATTTTAGGAGGTCAAGGTGGGAGGATCCCTTGAGCCCGGGAGTTTGACCAGCTTAGGCAACATAGTTAGACCTTGTCTCTATAAAACATTTTTTAAATTAGCCAGGTGTGATGGCATGCATCTGTAGTTCTAGCTACTCAGGAGGTCAGGGCAGGAAGATCACTTGAGCCCAGGTATTCAACGGCTACAGTGAACTCTGATCGAACCACTGCATTTTAGCCCGGGTAACAGAGTAAGACCCTGTCTCAAAAATAAATAAACAAACTGCTACTTTAGGGAGAATGGGGTTGCTCTTCCTCTGCTCTTGCCTTGTGTAATCATGGTTTTGAAGCTCAAGGTCAGGGTTTGCTGTGTCCCATGGCAGTGGCCAGGGCCCGTCAGCCCATGTTGCCTCCCCTGCAGGAAAAGGCTGAGGAGGTGTATCGTCTGTATCAGAACTCGCCTCTCTCCTCCCACCCCGTGGTGGCCCTGTCGGAGCTGAGCACCCTCTGTGCTAACTCCTGCCCAGATGAGAGAACCTTCTACCTAGTGTTGCTGCAGCTGCAGAAGGAGAAGAGAGTCACAGTCCTCGAGCAGAATGGGGAAAAGGTATGGATGTTTATGTGTTCACTGCTGGCTCGGCAGTGACAATTAGGTATATACAGTAGTCCTCCCTTATCCGTGGGTTTGCTTTTCAAGGTTTCAGTTACTCATAGTTAACAGCAGTCCAAAAATATTAAATGAAAAATTCCAGAAATAAAGAATTCATCACTTTTTAATTGTGTGCCATTTTGGTAGCATTATGAAATCTCCTACTGTCCTACTCCATCCCACCAGGGACAAGAATCATCCCTTTATCCAGTGACCCCTCATTCTCTATGTTGCCCACCCATGAGTCACTTAGTAGCTGTCTCAGTTATCAGATTGACTGATGTGGTATCGCAGTGCTTGTGTTTTAGGTAACCCTTATCATACTTAAATGGTCTCAAAGCACAAGAGTAGTGATGCTGGCAATTTGGATATGCCAAAGAGAAGTTGTAAAGTGCTTCCTTTATGAAAAGGTGAAAGTTCTTAGACCAGGCGTGGTGACTCATGCCTATAATCCTAGCACTTTGGGAGGCCGGAGTGAAAGGATTCACTGAGCCCATGGGTTCGAGACCAGCCTGGGTAACTTGGTGAGACCTCATCTCTACAATAAATCAAAAAAATAGCCGGGCATGGTGGTGTGCATCTATAGTTCCAGCTATTTGGAAGGCTGTTGCGGAAGGATTCCCTGAGCCCAGCATGTCGTGGCTGCACTGGCCATGAGCATGCCACTGCACTCCAGTCTGAGCTACAGAGTGAGTCTCCAACTCAAAAAAAAAAAAGGTGAAAGTTCTTGACTTAATAAGGAAAAAATTATGTATATGTTGAGGTTGCTAAGATTACACTAAGAATGAATCTTGTATAGGAACAGTTATGAAGAAGGGAATATGTGTATAGTGTGATGTGCTATCTGAGGTTCCAGGTACCTACTGGGGTTCTTGAATGGATCCCCCATGGATAAGGGGGAATATACCCATGCCCTCCAGCACTCTTGCTTGGGAATTTCTCAGCGTCTGTGGTGTGAGCAGAAGTAATTTGTCCCTATCCCTCAGATTGTGAAGTTTGCCCGGGGGCCACATGCCAAGGTCTCTCCTGTCAACGACGTAGATGTTGGGGTGTACCAGCTGATGCAGAGTGAACAGCTTCTCTCACGCAAAGTGGAGTCCTTATCCCAGGAAGCTGAGAGGTAACTTCCACCCTGAAGTGGTCTCACTCCACACCATGCTGGCCCTCAGAGCTTGTGAAACACTGATATCTCTGGGCCCTTAAAAAATAGGTTTTTAAAAAAACGATTTACAGAAGTACCTTATTTTCCAATGAAGAAATTATGGAAAACAGAATATTACAGAGGACAAAAAAATGAATCTTAATTCTTTCCCCAAATATGATGGCTGGTAATGCAATGATTGTGCTCTTCTATACCAGTATACATTGATACTGAGCCAGGCATTGTCTTAGGGGATGGGCATGCAGCAGTGAACAAGACAGGTTTATCTGCCATCTGAGGCACTCCCACTCTTCTCCTTGGCTGGCTGTGCCCAGGATCCCTGGTAAAGGCACAAGAGCAGTCTGAAAGGAGAACATTTAGACACTGGATTAGAACTTGTTCACTCCATCTTACAATGGGAGAAGCCCAGCCTTGTGAGAGGCAAAGGGATACGTCTGAGGTCATAGTTGGTGTTAGGAATTGCTCCCTGTCTCCCAGAATGGGAAGAGAGGCCATGATGTTCCCTCCCTGTAGGTTGAAACAGCCTATCCCTGGTCAGTTTGTCTTCCCACAGGCTTAAGCCTGTGTGATGACTCGCTGTGAGAATTTGACCATGGGATTCATTTTTCTTGCCACTGGATGGATAGGTTTGATCTTTACATTGAAGACCACCTTAACCACATACTGTTCTCAGAGCCCTTGAGGGCCTTGCCACTCTCGGTCTTGAGGCACAGTCATTTGGACCTGTCCCTTTGTTTACAGGTGTAAAGAAGAAGCGCGCCGGGCATGCCGAGCAGGAAAGAAACAGCTGGTGGGTTCTCTTCCCCTTCAGCCACATAACCGTGCCCTGGCAGGCAGAGAGCGGTACCCACAGTTCACAGAGCAACCTGCTGGGGGCTAGTGGGTGTTCACAGAACAAGGCTGCAGGTGGCCCAGGGAAGATGTTCTTATTATCAGGGAAGGGCCATCTTCCTCTTGCCCTTTGGCTTTCCCTGTCCACTCCTGACCTAAGTCTTTGTGCCTCCCTAGGCACTCAGGTCCCTCAAGGCCAAGCAACGGACGGAGAAACGCATCGAGGCCTTACATGCCAAGCTGGACACAGTTCAAGGCATCCTGGACCGGATCTACGCCTCCCAGACAGATCAGATGGTAGCTGCTCCCTTCTGCTTCAGTACTCGCTGGTCTCTGGCATATGCTGCTCATCCCTGAACTGCAGCTCTGCTGTTTGGACAACTGGGTTTTTTCAGGATGTGGCTGGGGTTGTCTTTGCCTTTCCTGTTGGGATGTTTGGCCTCAGTGGGTGCGGGCCGCATCGAGCTTGAGTGGCCAAAGAAAAAACCCCAAGGCTGTCTTTTGGAGCTGAAACAATATTGTATATATTTTGCCCAATGTTTGTCATTTGTGCTGATAACTTTGCTTTCTCTTTAGGTTTTTAATGCCTACCAGGCTGGAGTAGGAGCACTAAAACTCTCCATGAAAGATGTCACAGTGGAGAAGGCAGAGAGCCTTGTGGATCAGATCCAAGAGGTACAGGAAGGGGCCAGGGAGGGACACAAGAAGGACGTTACATAGGACATACTTGCTCTGTTGCATGTCTTTTTTTTCCAAATTTGACCTGTTACTTCATGAACTTAAGGAAGCTTTCTTCGATTCTAACATGGGGCGGTATTGCTTTGTAACCCTACAAATTTTCCCCCGAAGACTCAGAGACTCAGAGCCACCATTCCCAGTTCAAGACTTTGTATTTTTCTCTTACAGCTCTGTGACACCCAGGATGAGGTTTCTCAGACTCTGGCTGGTGGGGTGACCAATGGCTTAGGTGAGTTAACAAGGTGGTACTTTCTTTCTTCCTTTCATTCATTTTTAAGAGGATTTACATCATCTCTTCTGTCCAGATTTTGACAGTGAGGAACTGGAGAAGGAATTGGACATCCTCCTTCAGGACACCACCAAAGAACCTTTGGATCTGCCCGACAACCCCCACGAGACATTTTATACCAACAGTGTGCCTAAACCTAGGATCTCGGATGCTGAACTTGAAGCTGAACTTGAGAAACTATCCTTATCAGAGGGAGGTAAGGAGCTGTTTTCCAGGGTTGCTGGTGGGTATGTGGCCTCCCTGTAAGAATGGTGGGGGTTTGTTATTTATATGAAGGCTTGGTCCTTTAACACTAGACTCCTTTCATCATCAAGATTTTCCTATTATAGTGTTCAGTCCTTTCTTCTCTTTGCAGGTTTGGTCCCAAGCAGTAAATCTCCGAAAAGACAATTGGCACCTACTGTCTAAAGCCATTGTAGGACCCTCAATTGAAGGACCGTCGTGTAAAAGAGAGACCAGGCTTGTGTGTGTGTACATAGTTATTTAAATGAGAAACTCAGAATTTGTTGGGAAGAGGAGGAAGGAGAACCACTGATGTATCTGGATGCTACCACTTACTACAGGACAGATAGAATTTCTGGAAGCGATGCTCCAAAGGCTTGCTCCCAGCTATATCATGGACCTGCCTTCTCATCTTTATAGTGCCACAATTTATACAGTTCTGTGTTTGACCTGTCGTCTCTCATAGCCTGCAGTTCTTGCCATTGGCTCAGTTAGGTTTGTCTTCACCCACCAGCTTCGTTCTAGCCCATGGAGGTAAAAGATTTGCAGCTTTGCCAAATCAAAATCAGTCCTCCCCCACCCCATGGCTTTTTAGAGGGGTTTATCCTATCCGTGATGTCAGTTCAATAACTTATTCCTGCCCCACTTGATTTTGACTGATAATGAGACGAATGAGAATGAAACATTTAAAAGTTTTATTTGAGGGGACTTAGCTGCCATTTTACGCAGAAATATACAGTGTAAAAGATTTCTCTGTAGGGTCATTTGTCAAAATCCTCCAGATGTTCAGAAAGAGAGGTTGCCCCGAGTGGCTCAGTCATGACAGTGGGGAGGGGCTCATGTGGTCAGTGGGCACCGCCTCTTCCGTCTTATGCAGAAGATCTGCCGATGGAGAAAAGGATATTCTGGGTCTTTGGCCTTTGAGTGGGGAGTGGCCCAGATGACCATAAGGCCCCAAGAGCTCCAAGCCCATGTGCTTTTTTGAAGAGGCCCCATCATGGAATAACTTAAATTTTAAAAAATACGTATTTTTTCCAGAACAAGCCACACAACACACTTCCCCTCCTTGAGCCTTGCACACACCAGCAGGCTCTCTGTTTTCATTTGGAAAATATTTTGCTGTAGCCCGCTGCTCAGGGCAGGGGTCTGCGCCAGGATGTGCAATAGAAGCAGGAGGCCATGCCCTTCTGCCGGATCGGCTGTGTGCTTCCCGGGCCCAGCCCTGCACCTGCCCCTGCCTCTTGCAGTCCCAGGCTCCTGCTTCCTTTGAGGAACTGGGGAGGGGACCATGGAGGGACCGACAGGAGAGGGTCTGAATGCTTGGGCAACAGGGAGAAGAAAAGGTAGCCACACTGCCACTGCTGCCCAGGCACAAGGATTTCTGCCTGGAGCCCTTTGCCCTGTCCCTTCTGCCCGAGGCGACGTGGCGCAGAGGAGAAGAATTTGCTCCAGGCCAGGAGCACGAATCACTGTTCAACAAATTTCTCTCCCACTCGACCTTGGTCAGCGGAATGTTGGGGGTGAAGAGAAACAATCACTATTTTTTCTTTTTTATCTGGTAAATAATTAAAAGAAAAAACCGTGTTTGTCTTTGTTTCTTCTTTAGGCTATATCGAATTTCTTGTCCCTTAGTGCCTCCTAACCCTGCCTCAGTTTAACAGCCACTTTGGTTCTCAGGACCGCAGGAGAATGTGGAGTAGCTTAATAGTGTGAGCTCTGTGCTGCAGTAAAAGGTAGTCAGTCTGATTGATCATGCTCACACTGACCTCCCCTGGGGGAGGACTTGTTCTTAGGATAGTCTGTTTGGTTTAGGTGTGTGCTGCAGGTTGTATCTGTTTTCCATTTCCTCTTCTCATTATATCTTGTAAATGACCTAACTTCTTCTGCCCATGGGATAATACCATACTTTAGTCCAGCATCAGTACTTCTCAGTGCCTTCTACATGCGTGGTGTTTTCCAGGCCATGTGGGGGAAATGAGTTTTGAGGTTGAGTGCACGGTTAGGAACAGGCTAGAAGGTTGGCCAGGGAGCTGATCAGAAGGATGGGAGAGACTGAGCTGATAAGCCACACAGAAGAGAGAGTGGAGCCTCTGAGGTTCCATTCCTACTTCAGGGAGGAAGAGGCCTAGACTTGGCAAACCTTGTTAACTGATTTCAGGTTTTTCTTTCACTGACCTGAGCTGCTGAAGGATCCTTATTTAAATGACCCAGCCTGGTTCTTTGCTGTGCTACAGGAAATTAAAGAGATGCTGAGTCTGCTTGGATCAGAGAACAAGAAGGGGTAATCTACAGGGCACTGTGTGGTGGTGGCTGCAGTTTCCAGCCTGAGATCCCCACAGTGGGGCTAAGTCTCGCATCAGGAGTCGGCACCACAAGAGTGGACTTGGTTTATTAGGAAGCTGATAAGTCTTATACGTGGAGAGGTGTCGGGCCCAGGTAAGTCATGCTCAGATGCCGCCCTCTTGAAAGTGATGTACCTTAAGAAGGTTCAGAGAATAAACACTTCAGCTTGGTGGGCTCAGGGAGGGCTTCACTGAAGAGATGATGTGTAAGCATTTGCTTTCATCGAGTTTTTTCTTGGGTAATTCAAAATCTTAAAAGGCAATGTACCATTAAAAAAATACCATCTATCCGTGACTTCACTGAGATCAAGTAGGGAGAGAGAATGTAAGAAATCCAAGATTGCTTTGAAGTCAGGTAGAAAGGGATTCTAGGGCAGTTGTAGCTGGAAGTTGGGGACCTTGGTTCCAGTTCTCACTGTAGCTACTAGCCAGTCATATGGCTGTGAACATACAGGCCTCCCAGTTCTCTGTTGTAAAGTCAACAAGATGGACAAGATGACTTCTGAAACTGATTGTCTTTGCGTTCCTCTGCATGATCCACTTCTCCCTTTTCTTGAATCCTTGCTGCCTCGAGACAGAAATCAGAGTGGCACCACCATGCCACACAGTGAGGGGACAGCGCCACATCTGGGGGGGGGGTGGCTGGAGAGTCCCTAGTCACTGCTCGGGACCAGTGATATGGGTGTGGGGAGGGGAAGAGTGCTACCTCAGAATCTCTTAGGCATACCCTGAGTCCTAGGATCTGGGAGGGCCCTGAAGTCAGACATCCTGTTGTGAGAGGGATGGGAAAGGGCTAAACTACAGCTCTCACCATCTGCCTGAAGCAGCCAAGGCTGAACAAGTCCCTGTGACAGTCCAGTTCAGTCTGCTGAGAATGTAATCTAGGCTGTCAGAAAAGAAGGAACTACCAAGAGAGCTGTTGGGGAAGAAGAGACCACTGAGAGAGCTTTGAACTCAAGGTGTCCTATGGAGCTCTGCTCTGAGGTTTGTGGACGAGTTTGGTAACCCTCTTTTCTTCTGAAGTATCTTAATGTTTTCTCATTTTTTACTCATTTGCAACTACTCTTTGGGGGAAGTGTGGTTCCTTTTCTCCTGCACAGAAACTGTTCAGGGTCACAATGACAGAACATGAGGGCCGGAAGGAGCCCCGGTCATTGTAGCAAAGGCTCCGTTTTACACAGGAGGAATCTGGAGCTCAGGTGACTTGCTAGGGTCACAGAGCTCACAGGGGAATTTACTGTATTCACTTCCAGTTTGGTATTCCCTCTGTTACAACAGTTTTGGAGTCAGAAAGCGATGCCCCGCCTCCAATGTAGCATTTTGACATGAAGACTAAAGAAGCAGCCTTATTTCTCTCTGACCTTCCCCAATGTCCTGTCCCTCTGATCTTTCCTTTTCAAAGCACCAGGAGTGGCTCTCTCTGGAAGTTCCCTTATCTAATGAGAAAACCTTTTAAAAGAAATGCAGCTCTTTGAAAATATCTTCTCTAGGAATCTCACTAAATTGGAGTGCTGGCCATGACCCTTTATGATGGAGAGAAAAGGAACCACCTCCTCTCCACCCTACACTTGGCTGCTCTTAAACAGACTCTCAAAAACCAAATAACTCCAGAAGTACTTTTCATGGTGGGCATGTGCCTTCCCCCCGCCCCCCGCCATGTCAGTGCTTTAAATTGGCAGATCAGCCTTCAAGCCCATTGTCTGTGCTGAGAGAAGTCAGCTGTGGCCTGTACAACACTTGTTGAAGAAGAAGCAGGATCAGAGAAGGAGAAATAAAACTGTCTTTAAAAAAAATATTATTTTATTTTATTTTAAAGATGTGGAGTACAATTCGGGGCTAGGTATACAGATGATGTTCATATGCAGGTAACCTTGTTGATGAGGTGTGCCCCTCCCTCCCCTGGCAGCTCCCCACTACTGCCAATCCCTTTCTTATAGTATTATGACAATTGTTCAAGGTTCGCTTATGAGTGAATGCATGTGTTACTCTGTCTTTGTTTCTGTGATGGATCACTGAGTATGATCAACTCTAAATCCATCCAAGTTGCTGTGAAGTCCATGTATGTCCTTCTTGATGGCTGCATCATATTCCATTGTGTATATGTACCACATTTTTTTTTTTTATCCATTCCAGCTTTGAGGGGCAGCATGGCTGGTTCCTTGGTTTTGCTATTGTGAATAGAACTACAACAAACATGCGTGTGCTGGTATCTTTTTTGCAGAACGGTTTGAGTAATAAACCTGTCCCTATTCACAGGTGATACAATTGTGTATGTAGCCACACAAAGCTCTATAGACAAACTAATTGAATGAAAAATGATTTTAGCAAGGTTGCTGAACACGAGCTCGATATTTGTAAAATGTGTTATATTTCTAAATACTAGCAAACAAATATAAAATAAAAATGTAAAAGAAGTGATCTATACTAGCTTTTAAAATCTCACAGTCCAGGGAAAAGCTCTAATAATAGGTGTTGAATACATTTTTGCCAAGGTAAATATATAATGATCAAATTAATTGTTGTGGGGATTTTACACTATCGAATGTGTACAGGCCCCCTGCCTCCAGGTGCTAGATTCTAGTAGCACCCTCCATCCCCCAAGGTGTCAACCAAAAATGTCTCCAGACATTGCCCCTTGGGGGATAAGGGATGGAAATCACCCCTAGGGAAAAATCATTGCCCTACACTGAAAACTATAAAATATGATAGAGGCAAAATGTTAATGATGTCCATCCATTCCTCCAAAATGTATAAAATCTCAGCAGGTTTTGTGCATGTATGTGTGTGTGTGTGCCTATGTGTATATGTGTAAATTAACAAGCAAATTCTAAAATGTAGATGGACATACAAGAGATGTAGAACAGCCAAGGAAAACTTGAAGAGAAGTGAAACAAAGCTGGAAGACAAACGTATTAATGGGTAAGTTATACTTCCATTTTTTAAGGGGATAACTATTTTAAAAAATAGATATTGAATCAATAACTTCTAAATATTAGAGAGTGTAAAGGGGCAATAAAGAAAACGGTCTGGTAGAAGATAGGAAAATATAAAAACAGAAGTACAGAAACTCTTGGTAAATAGAAAGTACAGGCCGGATTTGGTAGCTCAGCCTGTTAGCCAGCACTTTGGGAGGGTGAGGCGAGTGGATTCCCTGAGCCTGTGGGTTCGAGACCAGCCTGGGAAACTTGGTAAGACCTCATCTCTAAAATAAATAAGAAATTAGCCAGGTGTAGTGCTCACCTGTAGTTCTGGCTACTTGGAAGGCTGAGGCAGAAGGATCGCCGGAGCCCAGCAAGTCGATGCTGGGGTAGCCGTGAGTATGCCACTGCACTCCAGCCTGAGCGACAGAGTGAGGCTCCAACTCAAAAAAAAAAAAAAAATAGAAAGTACAAAATAAGATGGTAAAAGTTTATGAAAATATGTCAGTAATCACAATGAGTGTAGACAAATAGAACTTGCCAGATAAAAGATAGATATTATCAGATTTAAAACAAAAATTGTAAAATTCAGGCCTGAGCTGTTTGCAAAGAATATACTTAAGGTCACACAAATATTTTATTTTGTTTAGTCAAAGTCTCACTCTGTTGCCCAGGCTAGAGTGCAGTGGCATGCTCACAGCTACTCTAGCGTCGACCTACTGGGCTCAGGTGATCCTTCCACCTCAGCCTTCCAAGTTGCTGGAACTATGGGCGTGTGCTACCATGCCTGGTTAATTTTTTTATATATTGTAGAGACGAGGTCTCACCAAGTTACCCAGGCTGGTCTCGAAACCCTGGGTTCAGGCAATCCCCTCGCCTTGGCCTCCCAAAGTGCTAGGATTACAGGCTTGAGTCATCGCACCTGGCCCACACAAGTATTTTAAATTAAAAGATAGAAGAAGTTGGTGTATCTCTTTTAATATTAAACAAAATAAACTTTAGGGCAAAAACATTATTAGGGTTATAGTCATTACTCAGTAACAGCCGGATATGGTAGCTCATGCCTGTAATCCCAGCAAATTGGGAAGCCAAGGCAGGAGGATAACTTGAGGCCAGGAGTTAGAGAACAGCCTGGGAAACATAGCAAGATCTTGTCTCTACAAAAAATAAAAAATAAAAAAATTAGTTGAGCGTGGTCGGGCACACCTATAGACCCAGCTACTCAGGGAGCTGAGGTGGAAGGATTGCCTGAGCTCAGGAGGCCAAGGCTGCAGTGAGCCATGATCATGCCACTGTACTCCAACCTGGGCAACAGAATGAGATA